CATCAAGTTTTGATGTGATTTTGGTATCCATCCTGGTTCTATGGAACACACCCACAGAAAGGCACAGGATCACCAGCACATTTTGTCACCATCTTCCTGCGTCCCCCTGAATGTCCTTTTAGAAGCTGTCAATACTAGATAGCAAATGCAATCAGAAGTGCCCTTCGTTGTCCATTCTGGAAGGATACCATTACCCCAAAGTCTGGTTAGTATTCCCATGAGGAACAAGGCTCCAATAAACAATAAAAGAAGCCACCACTCACAGGCCTCAGCCTTCCCCACTCTGATATCTTTCTTATATGTTGTGACTGCATTCTCCAAATTCCCAACCAAGCTATACAGCTGCCTTGATCCACCTGCACATTTCCTAATGTGCCAGGGCAAAGTTGCTATAGCTGATACTTTTCCAGTCTTATCCAAAAAGCCCCTATATACCATTTTTTACTGTTCTGCCTATAAAGCTAAGATACAAGGCTGCACATCTTTGCTAGAACTGGAAATAAGTAAATATCCATCTGTATCTAAAATACTTCAAGAATGCATAATGTACAGATGGGTAAATAGCTTCTTGATAAAAAAATATCACTTGGTCAAATTGCCTCTTAATCAAAACTATCCACTAACCAAAGTTCTTCATCTATATCTGCACCTGGGACAATTTAGTTAATGATTTAGAAAAGATAATACTTAATCTTGGCTTATTTGAACAAACAATGGTTTAAATACAGCAATCCCAATTCAGATACAAGACTTTAAAGGGGAAATTAGATACTTCTAAACTTTTTTTGGCAACAAAAAAGAGAAGTGGGAAAGAGTGAATAATTCATAAAACCTCGTAATATCACCCTAAATCATAGTTAGTTTGTTATACACACAGTAGCTATTAGACAGTGTTTGAGAAACCTTGGTCCTTGCTTCAAGTTTTCTTGAAAATAGCGTACAGGAAAATCCCAGAGTTGAGTGAATTCATAGAAATAACTGAATTACAAATAAAATTATAATTAAAATGTCAATACTGTACTGTAGCCAGGTTCAACCAAAGATTTCAGTTCTTTAGAGATCCAAACCAAGTGTATGTCATACTTCAATATCTTTGGTAGGTAAGCCCAAGGATTATTTATTTATTTATAAATCATATTTATATGGCTGCCCATCTCACCGAATGTGACTCTGGGAGGCGTACAATAAAACCATAAAATAACAATATAAAAACAGAATGCAATTAAAAACATTGATGTCATTATTTTAAAAGGTTAAGCGAAAGCGTTAGATATTATGAACAGTGGAGCCATCTGAGGAGATCACTGTTCCCTAGAGAACCCCAGGCCTGTTGACACAGCCATGTTTTGAGTGGTTTCCAGAAGGATGGGAGAGAAGAGGCCAATCTCACCCTGGGGGGATGATGTTCCACACAGTGGGTGCCACAACAGAAAATGCCCATCTCCTGGGCCCCACCAGATGTAACTCCTTAGTAGACGGGACCCGCAGCATACCTCTTTCTGCTGGATCTGATAGGATGGGCAGATGTAATTCGGAAGAGGCAGTCCCACAAATAACCCATTACTGTTATCTTCAAATACACTGAAGCTTACAATAGACATGTTTGTTCCTCTCAGCAAAGTTGACTTTCTTTTACATATCCCATATAGTCACTATTCTTAACAAATGATTGGTATCATACTTTTGCATTACCTACTTTAGCAAAGAAAATATTATTGTTGGATGATAAAAAGTGCCCTGCAATTATTACCTAGTAAAATCCTTCATTCCTGAAGCTACATTATGATTTAATTTGCATTTCTTCTTTTCCATATATACATTGTTTACAATGGTAAGTCAATCTAGGTTTCTTAATTGAAATTTGAAACATTTTTCTATGTGCAACTTTCAGAATTCATTCTGATATCTTATTCAAGAAATATCATTGGTGCTGCTTTATACTTTGTACTTTCTTCCCTACAGTAGAAATGAGCATGGAAACTGAGCAAATATTTCAACTTGAAACATAAAACTATCTCCAGAACGTGTGTTCCAAAGGTAATTCTAATATTTCAGGGTTCAGATTGTTATCACTATAACCAAACTTTAAATATTTGTAATGCCAAATAAGCAAATTAAATAAAAGCCTTATTTTTTGTTCCACTGATTATAAAGAACACAGTATTATTGAACATTTGGTAAAGTATACATGTCATTAAAATAATGTAAATTATTCTTACAATCTGTTGTACTCTGTACTTAAAAAGGGGTCAAGTGTGAAATTCAGAAA